TTCCAGGTCATCAAGTTCATTAATGATGCTGCGGGCGTTAAACTGAATGCAGCGAAATGAATTGCCTGATTGTGCTTCGGTTCACTGCTGAGATTCCTTAACGACATTACCTGGAAGTGGCACTCGTTCGTTACGGTCTGCATCCCAAACGAACAGAGCACCGTTAACTCGGATTTCGTCGTAGATTAATTTGACCTTTTCGCCTGCCCTTCGATTTTCCACCATGATTTCCCAAAATTTTCTTCTTTTATGTTGTGTAGCATCCGAGAAGTCCTCAGAAATCGAGAAACCTGTACCCTTTTGTTTAAAGCAATTTTTAAGCACAGCAACCTTGTCACGGTAATCAATAAGCTTTAGAATTATAGGGCGAGGCTTACGTAGTTATTTGCGCCCAATTCTGTAAATTCTTTCCGCAGACGACACTTGTATTTCCAGGATATCGGTAAACACACCCTTCAACACACTTTCGCTGAGTTCATCGAAACTTTCATTAGTTGTTTCCGGTATACCACAGACAATCAAGTTGTTCCGCCTATTTCTATCTTCAAGATCAGCTAGCTTGCTTTCTAAGCTTATGACCCTTTTTTCCAACTTATACGTCATTGTTTTTACCTCATTTACAGCCGTAGCAACTTCTTCCACTTTCTTTAACTTCAGCTCAATGCCATCCAGCCTTTTCCGAATGCTTTTCTGACCATCCAAAAGCTCAGCAAGCAACTTTTGAACGTCAGGGCCGGGATTCGGCTCGACGTCGCCACACAACAAAAGCAAAGAGAGAAGCATTTCGCGTACACCAGAACAGATTCTGCTTAAGCTACATGGGCATGTCACCTGGACAAAGAAAGGGTCGTCACACTTGGCAGATGAAACATCATCACTAACCTGCATGAAGAAAATAAACGGATTTGACATGATGTCGACGCAAGGCCAGCCGACATGCCCACTCAAGAAGCTCGATGGATGCCGTGTATTTATATCTCCATCCTGTGACGTCGATGTAGCCGCACAAGACACTTCCCATCCTTCCCAGCACCGCCTGTAGTACACCGGTTGTCCTGCGCAGTCTTCAAAATTTTCCAGGGGTTCAGCGAGGACAAATGTGCAATGCGTCTCTTGGACCGTCGCCGTCGATCCTAAGACGAGAAGCTGCACGAAGAAAATAAATGGATTTGACATGATGTCGACGCGAGGCCAGCCGACATGCCCACTGACGATGCTCGATGGATGCCGTGTACTTATATCTTCCTCCGGTGACGTCGATGTAGCCGCAGATGACACTTCCCATCCTTCCCAGCACCGCCTGTAGTACACCCGTTGTCCTGCGCAGTCTTCAAAATTTTCCAGGGGTTCAGCGAGGACGAATGTGCAATGCGTCTCTCGGACCGTCGCCGTCGATCCCAAGACGAGAAGCTGCATGAAGAAAATAAACGAATTTGACATGATGTCGACGCGAGGCCAGCCGACATGCCCACTCAGGACAGCCGACATGCACACTGGCCAGCCGGCATGCCCACTAGCCCACACATGCCCATGGCGAGGGTGACAAAACTTTGGAGCCAGTGTCCACAACCGTGCACTGAAGTCATTGGCTACATTATTAACCTCAGGCATCTTGTATATGCCACGGGCCTCAACAAAGAACATGCTGCCGGTTTAAGTAAACTCGAGACCATCCTTATCGCTTCTGCTCCTTGAAACGTGCATCACGAACTTTCTTGAAGAAAAAAAAATTTGTTTTGACTAGCAACTTTTTTTTAAAGCTGTTTTTCATTTACTAAGAACTTCGGGATACAGTGAACAGATGCCATGTCACGCCCAAGTTCATTATAAGTGGGCTCGACTGTATTTCGTGTTTGTTTTTTTTGTGCTTACTAGAGCATAACCCCGTCACAAATCCATACACAGCACAGGTAAGCGACTCACGTGGTTCTGTTTTTGATTTTTCTGTAAATTTTTATTACTCCCACACTCTTTTCTCAAGTTTTTTTTATTGCCCCATTACATGTGCAACTGTTGTCTAGTGCAACCATGCCGACTGACTAAAAACCATCAAGATATCAAGAAAATTGTAAACCTTCGATGTGATTACGCGCACAGCATGATCATTAAAGTTTGTTCTGTAAATTATGTGGCAGCTAGCAGAATATTCAACAGCACATGTATAAATGCCGACACACGTCATCGCTTGTAAGATGATTCACGGCCGATGCTCTGCTTGCCAATGTCAGTGCCATTGTGTTCCTGTAATCTAACTTTCGATTTAGCGGCCACAAGTTCGGCCAACTAAACAGTTTCAATTCGACATAAAGTCTGCTGCCTTCGTCAACGTCATGACCACGTGAAAATACTTTCACTACAATAACTTTTAAAAAAACAAATAATTTTTAGCGGTCCCTTGAGATTCGTATCTAGATTTCACTGTACTGCCCATAATTACTTTGGTCGCTGAACAATCGCAGCGTCAGACACTTCTCTGGTTAATTTTAGGAAACTCTATGCTCTAAAGGTCATTCGGCTGCTGAAATCTACAAAAACCACAAGCCGAGAATGCCTTTTCAGTGCTAGGCAAACAGATCATCCACAACCATCTTAAGTACGACAGTATGCTCTCATGACATTTTTGTAGATGAGTGTGTCGCAGAAGAAATTCCATTCATGATAATACTGAGTCACCATCCATTGCTCTAACCAAATGTTCAGTCAGAAACTGATTAAGGTCAAACACTCACCACTTTTTTCATGTCATACACAACTTTGTGCACCTATGGCACAACTGTGACATTCTTTTTACGCAGTCGCTTCGTGTTGCTGCCGCGATTTCCTTTCTTTATATTTTTGAGAAGTTTCTCAGCCACATTCGTGATAATCACGGAGGGGAAGCCTGCTGAAAGCAGCCTATTGATTTGCCTAGAGAAGCTATCACGCATCGCATGCGGGCATGACTTGGTGAGGGCCCATTCTAGACACGAGCTTGCGATTGCCCTTTTATCTATCTTTGAATGCATAGACTCAAAAGGCAAAAGCTCTTTCTGCCCACTTGGTGCATGTCGCCGGAAGATGTGAGGCATACTAAAATTCAGGTTAATATCTAAAAACTGCAGTGATTCGTTAGATGGGGTTTCCTGCGTGAACACTAAACCTTTGCCAGATTGTCTACAGCTTGTTAAAATCCTACTTACTGAATCTGTGTGGGACACGCTCACTAGCTTAGAGATAACTATTAAAAATTATGTATGCATAAAGTTGCTCATAACATGACAAAAGTGGCAAACAGGCATGGTGTTCATGTGGTTTTTTTCTGTGCCAAAGAAGCTAGCCGGCCTTTGCCCAAGGGTTGGCAGGAACGGGAAACGGCGAAGCGATTGGGGAAAAAAGCATGCCGAAACGTTCGTGAAGTGTGCCACAGAAGTGGTGTACCAAATCCCTCTCTCATGTGAATGCTCATACGTGGGGCACACAGGGCGCTGCATAAAATATAGCCTGGGGGAGCATGCTGCATCAGTTGGGAAAAAAGAAGAGGCGAACTTGCCCACTCATTGCAGCACAAGTATGGGTTGTGAGCTAGATTTCAAAAATGTAAAAATTCTAGGCAGGAGCAACGAGAGAGTAGGGCCTGAGCTTTTAGACGTTTTTTATTTTAAAGAATTGGGAGACAAATGTGTAAGCGACACGTCTGTTGCACTGTATAGCACAGAAAGCAGTTTTCTGCGCAGCTTTTTTTATTAATGTGAGGTATCCTTGCCGTGTGTTTCCTTCTTTCTTTCAACCTTCTTTCAAATTTTTTTTGGGATGTGTGTTAAATAAACATATATGTACAGCGACCAAGGGAATAAAGCCAGTTGATAGTTTGTGCTCTTGCAGTTTACGTTTCTTTACTTCCTGTGTTCGTCTGATTGTATGCGCAACGTTACATACCACTAACTGCTGCATAGTTGGCTGCTCGAACACTTACAAAAAACTTTCCGGAAACACAATTATACACATTTCTGGAGCTGCTTCACAAACAAGAGTGATGGTGGCTGAGGGTTACCACTGTTAGACCCTGAGAGTGGCTTTAAGAGTGGTTGAGAGAAGAAAGCAGAAAAAGGCAAACAAAGCACGCCTTTGAAAACTTTGAAAAACGCCTTTGAAAGATTTCAATGCAAACAGCGAAAGTGCAGGCATAGAGCTCATGCCAGGGATGCCTATGGATAAAGGAGCTAAAGCTCATCTGCCACCGAAGCAGCAGCAGTAGCGAGAAAACTTCAGTGTGATTTTTTCGACAGAAAGCAAGTGACTTCATCTGGCAAAGATTCCTCATCTCCCAAGCTACTGCGATCTGAGAAACTCTTTTTGAACAGCTGATTCTTAAGAGAGTAAGCAGATTTTAGCACTGAAGTTCTTACGAATACTACATCCTTTTCCCTTGCCATCAGCCTTGAAGCTGTAGATGATCAACAGTAATAGCAACATCTGACTGCATCTGACAGCTATTGACAGGTTGCTGCTGGAAAAACCAGATGACTGAATAATGAAATAACTGCCAAAGAATTAGTAGGACACTGCAGGGTTGTGTTGAACATAGGGAGAATGTCATGCAAACCACCCCAGTGATGAACATCATTGTGCACAACCGCAGCCTTGATGCAGACCTACAAAACATCTCAGAGCCTAGTGGGTGGGAGCAGATGGAAACATTACCCAGAAAGCGTACTACCATGTCAGATGTAAAAGAGCTATGAACTCGGAGCGACACTGGAGCCAACAAGCGGACTTGCCTTCTTCAAGTCTGCAACTGCTTAGGTCCACATTCTTATTTCCTTTTTTTTTTTTCAAGCTTCCACCTTCCTCAGGACTTTTTTTTTTTTTTCAATTACCACATTAGAACCAACAATGCCAACACTGAAATTTCTTTGAAATGAGCTTTCACGATATTACATGAAAACACATAGCACACTTACAGCAAAAGCTTGGAGCACCATCACATGATTAAACACAAACGATACAAGTGGGCTGCTCACATCCATAGGCATTAAGCAGCTCCTCCGCAGTGGGTGCTCTGCCTGGGTCCTCTGTCTCGTGGGGCGTTGGCAAGCAAATGCTGTAGGTGGACTCCAACACGTGCCTCGGAATAAGGCTGGCCACGTGATTCAGTCAAGGGCCATACTAAGGACTTCAGATCGATTCTCGCTGAGAAGGCAGACACTTCGACATCATGACAATGATCATTAAATTGGTGAGTGGCTTTCATCTATACAAACAAACTTCCTTACAATGACATTTGGCCGCTTCTGCAATTTATGCAAAATACTAAAAGATTGTATAAGGGTTGCACTCTAAAATTGCCACTCCAGTTAGAGGAAAAAAAAAGTGCAGCCCTTGCATGAGCTTATGCGGTCGTTTCAACACACAAAAACACCTTGATTTTGGTGCACTGAAGACTTTTACAGCTGCAAATAAAAGTCTTATCCTGAGATTAACACTGTATGACAAAAGTAATTACTCCACAACATCCTCTTATTTCCGGCCATTCAATATTGAACAAATAAGGTATGTGTCGTGCAATGCACTGAGAGACTGTTGTTACTGTTACTTGTGCAATTTACTGTACGTCTGTGCAGCTTTATATGCCACCAAAGTGAATGTGCCAGTATGATGTGCAAATAATCCTTTCGTTTCATACTTTGACACACACATCTTGCTCACTTATGCTCCGTGACAAACTTCCTTACCCAAGTTAAAAGCCTTGTCTGGCAGCATTTGCAAAATAAGCCTTGTTTTGCTGCACACATGTATCTTATGATGCAAGAAGTGGCTGCAGTATTGTGACAGTGCATCCTACTACTTTACTTCGGGCAGAAGGAAAAGAATATACTACATGGCTCGTATCAAAAATGATTCAGTGCGGGAAAAAATTTCAGCTTAGACAATTTTTTGAGAAATGTAAGTTTGACCACACAAAATATTACTGCACTGACCACATATTCCATGATAGTGGCTGCTCTGACCTTCTACTTGTATGCTTCCAGACAAGAGCTCCACTGTACTATGACAGAAACGTTTAGAAACCAGCATTATGCAAACCTGCTTTGATCCTTGGCATGGTTTCGGTGTTTGAAAACCACAGGCCAGGGTCATGGCAAAATTGGTTCTATTGCTGACAATGGCAAACCATTCAGCAAAAACTGGGGCACCAAACTGCAAGAACATTGACAGCAAGCACAAAGGCCACAGTTGCCATGGCAGCCATTGGAATGGCATGCGATAGAGCTGAACAGTGAGGTCATGAAAATGGCAGTGGCTTCAACCAATGCTGTCTGGGACCTACAACTGTGGCGAAACGTGCAAGAAAATCTGGCCGTGAAGTGCGTCAATTTGCAAAATTTATGTGTGGCAGCAAAAGTGCCCAAATTTATATCAGACAACTCAGTCCATGACTGCAATTGCAGTGGAACCCCAAATATACAACTTTCAGGAGACCACGGAACACTGTCACATAATCTGGGCGTCGTATAATTGAGAAACTCAGATTACAGGCAATAACACCCAGCCTTGCACAAAAACCACGTACAGACTGCCTCGATAAGTCTACGACATGACCCTGTGCCTCTGCAAGGAAGGTACACTAAATTATTCTTGCCAGTGGCAGCTAATGACATTATTACTTAGTTGGAAGAGGTGCCAGAGAACCTTTATTCTCAACCTTAAAAAAAAAAAATCGAATCCAACACGCATCTTTCTACTAATAAGTAGAGTTCTAAAATTGCCTGCGCATGAAAACGAAACCGGAACCACGTCACCAACCATTTCCTGTCAGAGGAGGTAGACACAGTGTCATTGCTATCACGAAATGGCAACAGACCAGGGCGCGAGTTCCCGCAGAATGCGTTTGTGCAGCTCATGCGCTGCTAAGCTGCCCGCGTTGTAATTTGTTGCCTTGTGAAGTGAAACTATGATGTCTATGAACAATGACGTCAAGTGAAAGTAGTTTTGCACGATGAAAAGATTTGCGTCACGCCCTCATGCGTGCACAAGCCTGTCACTGTGAGTGCAACAAAGGCAGGAGATCAGTTGTATGTCGACCACAAAAAGTTTTCACGGACCGGATACATGAAAATATCAGCTTTTGGGCTGGCTGAAGCTACTCTTTGCAGACAGAGCTTGACTAGCTAATGACCCCAGATACGTAAACAAGCGATTGAGGCATATGTAAAAGTGCATGGACTTCCAGGAGAAGTAATTTTTCATTCTAAGAACACATCCTGTCTTGCTATGTTTTTCTAATCGTCAACATAGGGGAATGCAAGTTCATACATAACACTTGTGCATATTTGCTCGACGTTTGATTGGAATAAATGTGTTTGTTTTTCCCTTCAAATGAAACCTGAAAGTTGTAAAACTGCATCGCATAACCAAGGTTTATATTGTCGCAGTACAACGCGGACAAAGCACAAGTACGCCTTGAGGCAGCGAAAGCAGCGTATTCTCAACAGCTGAGTGTGATATTCAGTTTCGGTTTTTACTTTGTGTTCTTTCACCCCCAGGGGGCGCGTCTGTCCTTTATGTATATATTCGATGTGTTGCATACAATAAACGTCTTTTTGTACGGTGGCGCTGCCGGTGCTTCTTACGTCTTTCGCGAACATCACATTGACGACGAGGATGGGATAAAAACGTCAAGCTACCTTCAGCATCGAGTGTCGTCCGGGTCTGCCCCTCCATGAGTTTCTCCGGCCCTGCTCCCCCGCCGCCGTTCCTCCCGCCGCCTGGCCGGCCGTCGCTTCCATGGGAGGAGTGGGCGCAGACTTTAACAGTCTACCTTCTAGCGTCCGGAGCAGCTGAGTTCCCACCAGCGCGACGCAAGGCCATTCTTCTGCATTGTTTGGGGGCGGAAAGGCAGCGTGTTTACCGGACTTTACCTGCAGGGTCAAATGCCGCAGCACCAGCAAGCGCCGCAGCACCGGAAGTGCAAGAGAAGCCTCCCGCGGCCGCTACTGACGAGTACGAGGCTGCACTCATCGCCTTACGGCAGCAGTTTTCCACGTCGTGTAACGTCGTCGTCAAGCGTCATCGTTTCCACCGCCGCAGCCAACACGCAGGCGAGTCCGTTCATGACTTTGTTGCTGCTTTACGGGAGCTCGTTTCGCATTGTTCGTTCGCTTCACAAGATGATGCTCTGCGGGACCGATTTGTTCCGATCATATTGTTGGCATCGTAGGTGAAGCGCCCGTTCGATAGCCGTAGCTTCTTTGAAGTCTGTCATGGTGCTTGGCGGGTTCGGCAAAAGTCCGGCAAGCAATTGCTCTTTAACGCCGCGCATGAGATAGCGCAACTTTTTGTTGTCGGTCATGTGCGGGTCAGCTTTACGGAAGAGATGGGCCATGTCCTCAGCGAAAATTGCGACCGTTTCATTGGGTTTCTGAACCCATAGCTCGAGTAAATGCTGCGCACGTTCGCGCCGGTCGACATCGGCAAATGTGTCAATCATCCCTCTTTTAAAGTCACTCCATGTTGAGAAACTGCCTTCTCTGTTCTCGTACCAAGTTCGAGCGCTGTCGTCGAGATAAAAATAGGCGCGGGAAAGCCTTTGTTCAAGAGACCACTGGTTGGTGTTAGCGACACGTTCATAGTGATCAAGCCAGTCTTCGACGTCTTCCTGTGCTCCACCACCAAAGCGATCAGGCACCAGCGGTGAAAAAAAAGGTTACCTGAGACGGGGTTGGCAAACTACTGTCTCGTAGTAACTGTTGTGGACTGGCGGTGGCCATTGGTAGATGTGAGCGGTGCCTTGTAGAGTGTTCCTGTGAGATGGTGAACTCTGGAAGGAGGCCTCGCAAGCGACGACTGAACCGATGCACGGGAGTGTCGACAAGTGCTTCTGGGCTGGATGAACGGCTCCCCGTGTGAGTGGGAAGCATCGGGAGGGGTCGCGGGCCAGCACCTCCACCAGTGTCGCAGTACAATGCGAACAAAGCACAAGTACGCTGCTTTCGCTGCCTTGAGGCAGCGAAAGCAGCGTGTTCTCAACAGCTGAGCCGCAAGATTTTCTTCTTCGTTCTCGAGTCAAGCCAGAGGCCCACTACCTGGTGTGCACTAAATCCCCCATCATCGTTTTTGTCCACATGTAGAGATGGGTCAATATTATACATTATCTTTATGGAAATCTTGCCAGGATCAAATCAACTGGTTGTAAAATGGGGGTCATCATGGAACCAGAAGACGTATAATCGAAGTTCCACAGTACCATGAAAAATGGCACTCCCAGATGCTGGCCTTACATTTCACTAGTCTCATTGCCCCTCGGCTACGCGACTGTTCTAAAAAAAGATACCATGTTAAACGGTAACGTCTTCAGTGCCTGTTTCATTTGCACTTGCACAGTTCCACAGGAGCAAAAGACACTAATATGTAGAAGGATATGAGGTTGACAGGAGGAACATGGTCTGTCATCTGGTCAATCGGCAAAATTCCGTGGACTACCATCTCGGCCTTGTTGTTTACGAAATTGGGAAAGACCAGGCCAGGGCAGTCATCGTCCAGGTTCAGCGTCTGCACAGAGATCAGCCAAATCATTCAGAACATGGCAAGCAAACTGTGTCGTGCCTCTCGTGTGGCCAGCAGGCAGGCCCCATTCAAAGCAGTCTACTGCACCTGGAAATGCTTGGTCTTGCCCGGTGTGGTGGACACTGAGACCTTCTTGCTGCGGACGAGTGCGTTGATGGTAGAACTCTTGCCCACATTGGGGTAGCCCACCTGCATGCAGTCGACAACATAGACAGAAGAGGCAGCTCCATCAGAAATATTGCGAGTAGGTGCACCGAGAGCAAATGTACAGAGATACAATTTACTTTTAACAGTGATTTGACACAAACACTGTGTTAGCATCATGCTAATCCTGATGCAATGTTTTCAGCTAAGGATCCCTTGCATTGTAGGCAAGTAGTGTTCAAAGAGAGCGACACACAAAGAAACAAGTGAAACAGACAGACTAATATTCTATGGGTTTACTGAAACCTGACACAAAGCTTAATTTTATCAATTTACCAAGCAAAAGCCTTAAAAAAGTCAAAAGAGAGAATATGGTGGTGCTCATCAATGAAATGGGAGAGCTTCCACCAACATAAAAATTAATACAGTGGACTCTCAATAAACAGAAATTTGTTGTATGGAACTGCTGCTTAAATGTGCTGCTTAAATGTAACAACTGCTTCCAGAGTGATTGGTTTCATACTTTCATTCTCCTTTGGTTCTTCATACTTCGATTCTCTACTTCGATAGTCGAATGTCATTAATTCGAACACTTAATTCGAACTTCCGGTTAATTCGAACTGACGATGAGGTCCCGTCAAAGCTATGTGTATTCCAATGGGCGAAAACGCCCGGTACTTCGAACGCCCAAGCACTTCCGATAATCAATTCGAACATACCGCGCTCTGAAAATGCTCTCAGTGACTAGCCCAATCCCCCCGCGGCACCTGCGACACTTCAACGCTGCCAGCGAAGGAAATGAAAAGTAAAGAAAAGACTGCAGTGGAATGTTTGCACTCTCTCAAATGCCGATCTGCGACGCACCCATGTCACGCTTATCCTTTTTTCGTTCCTGCCATGTAAAGACCCATCTCCTTCCAACGCCGCACGCGAAAATATGGAGGAAAAAAAGAAAAATTGGCAGATCCCACGTACAGTGGGAATCGATAATATGCAAAGCACGAATGAGGAAGGTTGATGTGCCACTTTCCAATCACCACAACGTTATGAGGTGGAGGCAAATTATGACATACACGACTGCCATGCCATGATTATCATGTTTACACCAGTCATATACCTTTGTCATCCATTGACATCACGTAACAGCAACTTTAGTATATGTAGAGCAAGCGAAACGGCCTCAAGTGCATCATGAAGGGCCCAATATACTCCAACGTCACATTGACGCGTGCGTACGCTAGGCACAGCGACGCTACGTTAACAAAACGCAAGCACTCTATAGTCTGACGCCAAGCGTGACCAGCGCGATCAGCGTCAGTCATCGCGGCCCGACGGTAACTGGCGCGAAATGCGACATGATGCATTCGGCGCCAATGCGTTAATCAGACAGCACTGCGCCTGCCTCTTTTTGAAATGGAGGGACACCGGACGCGCTGCAATGCGCATGTGTCAGAGCAAGGCAGCGTGCGCTGGCGAGTATGGCAGGACCAGTGCCTGGCGTGACAAGGCCGGCGGAACGTGAGGAAACGAACGCTGGCACGCACGTGCGCCGGGTCACGTTGAAGTGTATTGGCACATTGACAGTGGCATGTAGTCATGTTCTCACATGACACGCGTCTCATGATTGTCACGTTTGCACCAGTCACATACCTTCGTCATCCATTGGCGACACGTGATACCAAATTTGGCGTATGTGAAGCTAGAGAAACAGCCACGAGCACGTCATGAACGTAGCGTGTAGTTATGCTGTTACATAACATGCATCTCATGCTTATCATGTTTGCACGAGTCTCATACCTTCGTCATCCATTCCCGTCCCGTAAGACCAAATTTCGTATAAGCGAAGCTAGCGAACTGGCCACCAGCGCATCATGAGCATGACATGTAGTCATGTTATTACATGACACGAATCTCATGCTTATCTTGTTTCCACCGGTCAGATACCTTCGTCATTCATTCACGTACCGTAATACCAAGTTTGGTATATGTGACGCTAGCAAAATGGCAGAGAGCGCATAATGAGCGTGGCATGTATTCATGTTGGTTCATGGCACGCATGTCATGGTTTTCATGTTAGGGTCTGTTGCTTGTGTTCGCCATGCAATCATGTCATACCATACCAGTTTAGCAACATGTCATGTGAACGAAACCACTGCAAGAGCAGCAAGACCATGAAATGTAATCATGACATTCATGACATACATATCATGAATTTCATGTTATGACTAGTCAGATATTCTCATCATATAGTCATGTAATGCCATGCCAAATCTGGTATCGATACCATTATCCAAACGCCCATGGAGAGCCTAAAAGTCGTAGGCGGCTAGATAGATAGATACGCTCAAAGTCGCCGAAGTTCGCTATGAAATGCTTTGCATAAAAGAAAAAAGAAAGCTGTCGCTGGGTTGAATGAATGTATGGTTGAAGTGAAGAAAAAAAGGCACTATCTTCTGCTGCCCTTGCCCCTTGCGGGAGCACAGCTCTGCGCCTCAAGGGGGGAGGGTTCTCTCAAGCACCGGTGCCACGCATCCCCCTTTCTCTTCCCTGCCTTGTAACCCTTCTCCTTTAAACGACAAACATAAAGAGAGGAGGAAAAAAAAAGCTGCCGTGGAGTGTTGGTTTTTCTCTCAAATGTCGATCTGCTTTTCTCCAGGTGGAGACGCTCCTCCTTTCTCGTCACATGCCGGCCATGCTGCGGCTGTGTAGCGGAGAGCGGGAGGCTCCGCTACACAGTCGTCGTCTTTAGAAAGTGTCGGTGCTGGACATTTCCGCACGCAACTTCTCTTGCCAGGAGATCGCTAAAGCTGAAGTAGAAATGCTTTGCAAGCAGCGTGTGAAATTGATTGTCTCGCTGCAAGGCAAACGTGTACAGATGTGTACCACCGATTACTTCAATTAATAATGAATGTCCTTTGATGTGTTAATAAAAATAAGTCTTCTGAAACTTCCCTCTCGTGTGTTAGCTCTATGCACATGCACCACTTCATGGAGAGCCCTCTGTTTATTTAGCTTTCATTAATTCAAACTTCTTTTAATTTGAACAAAATTTTGGGCCCCTTCGAGTTCGAATTATCGAGATTCGACGGTAACAGATAAGTAACACACATAAAAATTAGACAATAGAACCCTAGTCTTGTAAAAATTTAGCATATACAGATTCTAGTGTTTTATCATCATCATTACCATCATCATCATCATCATCAACAGGTTGCCTACGCTCACTACAAAGCAAAAAAGCAAAGGCCTCTCCCATAATCCGCCAATTAAACTGGTCTTGTGCTTTCTGCTGCCACGCTATACTTGCGAACTCTTTAGTCTCATCGGCCCACTTACATTTTTGTCTCCCCTTTGTGCGTTTGCCTTCTCTGGTAATGCAGTCAGTGCCCCGTCGCGGTGGTCTATTGACTTACACACGTAAGCATGGTGGGCCGCGCAGAACTACTGGCACTGGAATTCGTCCTAATGAAAGCTATGGAATACAGCTATCTTTACAGCGATGTAAAGCATAGCTTGTTGCAAAGGTCGGCCATTTAGGTGTGGCATCGCACGCTGTGACTAACTGTTCCCTGTTCTCTTCATAAGGATGACGAAGAAAGATTGCCCTGCTCCATCGTCATCGCTGCCTCGAGTTCTTTCCAGGAGTTGAAAATAACGAGTGCCATGCTGGAGCACAATCGTGGCACGACGCCCGAGATCTTCAACTCGTATCCAGAGTCCCGCAGGTTTGGGCGCCTTGAGAAAGAATTCGTGAAACCACTTTTGGAAATAAAAGTTCCTCTTCGGTTGATTTCGCAAAAACTCGAGGAAAACACAGGTAAGTGCATTTTTTGTTATTAAATATGTTTCTTTTCTGTTTTTATTTTTTTGCTGGATTACGGGTCAATCACAATTCACTCTCTTATGTTTCGTTTGGTAATCATTGCAGGAAAGACTCGCATAGCTTGGGACCTTCATAACTTGAAAAATAAAGGAAGGAAAAGGAATAAAGCAGGCGAACTCATTCAAGTGATTGAAGGATTGCAGTTCACTCAGCAAGCGAGAATACTTCCAATCACTGACGAAAATCAAGAGCTGGTAATTCTTTTTATACAATCAATATATATGAAGAAGGTTTTTGCGTCGTTTCCACAAGTGCTTCTTGTTGATGCTACTTATAGGACCAACAAACTAAGGATTCCTCTGTTTGTCTTTGTCATTGAGGATGGCTTTGGCCGCAGCCATGTTGTTGCTTACGCATTTGTTGCCTCGAAGCAACAACATGTTGTCACTTAATTGTTGCAGACATTTGTTAAAGAAAACGAGAAGGCTGTAAAACAAATGCAGACATTTGGTAAAGAAACTGAGGAGGCTGCAAAAACAAATGTTGTTGTAGTTGACAAGGACTTTACAAAAATTAATGCTATTCGGGAAACATTCCCGTAGAAGGCGGCAGTGCATCTGTGCCTGTTCCACGTTATGAAAGCATTCAGGTCAGCTGTAGGTCAGTTTTTAAAATCTGTAGAAGAGCGAGAAAGGCTGCTGAATAGGTTTAGTGAAATGGTAAAAGCACAAACGGCAAAGCAGTTTAAGGAAGTGCAAGAAGAATTTTGTAGGTATGCGAATGAAGACGCCCTGACCTACTTCAATAAAAACTTGGCAAATATAATCCACATGTGGGCAAGACACTTATGCAATGCTACGTTTACTGGCGGCAACAATACTACCGACCACATGGAGTCACACAATGGTAAAGTAAAAGCTATTTTGTCTAAGTCACAAAAACTGCACGAATCACTGTGGGCCCTTCGTAAGATTTCCAGTGCAATGTGGCATGACACAAAGCATCAAGCAGCTCTTCTACAGAACTGCGAGTTTTACATCTATGGTGCCTCCAGTGAGATGGACAGTTTTTTCCAGGAATCTCATTCCTTAGGCTTGTAGCCTTATAAAAAAGGAAGCAGGCAAACTAAAGAAAATAATCCAAAAGTGCAGCAATTAACACTGCAGCATCACCATGTAGCTTCATCCTGTGGTAATACGCGGCAGAAAGTTTTCTTAGATGA